TAGGGTAGCTGTAGGGAATCAAGTTAGTACGGGCCTGTATTTTCCCGAATTTGCAGATATGTCCATCACGAATTTTCCTTACAGATAGGTCTCTCGGTTAGCCCCCAGCCAAACAAAATTACGAATCTAACCTACGACGCGACCCGACCGAGGCAAGCCCCGAGCTTCGCTTTCGGCCCAATGTACAGTCCACTGAGAATCTGCAGGTTTCATTACATACTTACCCCCCCCCGGGGAGAGTGGACCTCCGCGCCTATACTTCATTTCCTGGTAATGAACCAGCAGATGAAGTGAGTGTAGAGATAGAACTCTTACCTGAAGAGGAGAACCTGAGAGACTCGCGGGGTAACCTATGCCCCTGGTCAAAGCTGCGAACAGCAAGGTCAGGAGGAGGTAACCTCAAAGTGTCAGCTGGTCTCGACTGCATCAAGAAACCACGGTAAGACCTGGTCCTTGATTGTCGCGCAATCGACCACTTCTGAAAAGTTAAGGTTCCGTAGGCGACGCCCTATTGTTGCAGTCTGGTCTCCTATACTCATGACCAACACTATAACCAGTGATGTCAGGAGAAGGAGAACTCAGAGTGTCAGCTGGTCTCGATTGCGTCAAATGACCACAGTAAGACTTGGCACCCGACTATAATGCAATCGACCATGCTGAAAAGTTGAGTTACCTAGACATGGAGCTATAGTCGTCGGTCCGGGTATTTACCCCTAGTAGACATGGAACCAGTGCAATCGGTCAGTAGAGTGATATAGGGGAGCCCATAGCTCTCAACTACAATTATCATTCTAGACTGAAGGATTGCAATAAGAGATTGCGGGCAAAACAAGCAACCTCAACACGGGGAAGCATGAAAACATAACACCCAGGCTGCCAGTGACAGTCATGCGAGGACTCAACATGTCTAACAGACAAGGAGTCAGCGGCATGATGCTGAAAGCCTGGAGATATGGTTCACACCACTCAGCGTCAAGACAAGGGAAACTTGCCAAATCAGCAGCTAACACTCGTCAGGACGTTGAGTATGGCCAGAATTTGCACCAGCAAGTTCTGACAGCGCAGCACAAATGCTTGTCCAGGGAAGTAGGAAACATCTCCTCAGAGAAGTCTAATCACAAGTAAAAGGGGCTGCAGCCCTTACTTGTGTCATTCCTAAATCTGCTACAAACCAGTGCCCTCATACGTGAAGGACCCTGTTGCTGCAACTCCTAAATGAACCAGCTAGAGAGGGTGAAGATTCAACTCCATCAGACGATGAATCAGTACAGGTGGAGGGAGTTGCAGACTCCACCTCTCTCCTCTCTAGTTCGAGCCTGAAGGCCTGCGAGGCATATGGGGACAGTCCTTGAGAAAGTGGTCCCCCTCGCATCTCAGGCAGACCCCCTTATCCTTCCTCTTCCTCCAAACTCCCTCCTGGATCCTGAGTGCATGCCAGGGGAAGGTGGAAGGATCAAGTGGGTCAGCTGGCCAGCGGACGTCTCGTGGTAGAGGTACTCTCTGGGCCCCAGGGGAAGAGGCATGTCCCTTCCCTTTCCCCTGGCGACTGATTGGTGTTTTCTGGGATGGCTCCTTTCCCTTTGCCAAGCCCATCAAAGCATCAGTCAGGGCAAGAACAGGATATGCAGCTGATGATGAGGCAGTCCCAGGTGGAGGGCTCCCACCCTAGGATGCTGCGTCACTATCAGAACCAGACGCTGCAGCAGCAAACAGGGCGCCCTTCCTCCTCCTTCGCCCTTTGGAGGAGGGCCCCTTCCTTCCTTCAGAAGGTGCTTCCTGGACATGGAGTTTGGACTCCAAGTCCAGGGCTGCTCTGCCAAAGGACCTCCAGTCCTTGTGGCCTTGAGAGAAGAGAGCAAGCTGGAATTGCTCAGGCACTACCCTTAGGAAATGA